GAAGAAGAAGGCATGGGCTCCATACCATGGTCTCTCCTGGAGGCCAAGTGTCAGGCAACTGAAAAGCTTCAAGAAACTTATCTGAAGTCATGAAGGAGAAAGCTCAATGATGACAAATACTGATGTCAGGTACTGATGACAATTCATAATATAATTACCCAGGATATTATGCAGATAAACACAGGAAATAAGACAGCCAGCTCCTGTCCGAAAATCAGTGTAATTGGTAAAAGAATATTTTTCATTGTGGATAGAAGTTTGAGGATATAAATAACAAAACTAGTTAAATATATTTAGTGAATATTCTTATATTAATGAAAATTATGGAAATCAAATGGAAATTCTCAAGATTCAAGACTAAAAAAAAAAGTTCTATGGTGAAGGGAACACCATTTACCCATTCACCTTTTCTTTTTGTTTGGAATTTATGAAATAACCTAAAAAGCATTACTTTAAGTATTTAGCCATAAAAGCTAACATTGCAAAAGGAATGTTTTTTTCCTTATTATAAGAAATTTGATGTGAAATTTCCCTGACATCACTTGAATTTTACTTCCCTCCTTTAAATATTCTTAATACACTTTTAACAATTATTTTAACATTTCATTTAAAACACACAAGGACAGATGCTCCTTTATGGGATCACTTGCATGAGTAATCTTTAACATTAAATGAGGTGGAATATTGTTAGAATATTTTCAATTTTTGCTGAGAAAAACATATTTATTTTCAGAGATGAAGTTGAAAAACTAGACAGAGCCATACAGAGATGCTGTGCAAATGTAACTCCTAATTATAATGAAAATTTGAAATATCCTATGGGAATGTGACAAGTTCTTATCTTACTGAATAATTTTTTAAATGCAAAAATTCTCACTTATGATACATTAGCTCAGAAATCTTTTACTGGAGTGAGCTAGGAGTTGTAGTATTAATGAGCCTAACAGAGATCAGAATCTCATGTAAACAGATTTGCTGCAATTCAGGCAACAACACACAGCCGATGCTGCTGCACACACTTATTCAGCCTGAGTAGTCTTAGATCAAAGTTTTACCATGTATTAAGAAAACATGAAACACTTATACATGCCTTTTTTTATATTTGATATCTCAAACTGAAGCTGTAATAAACACTAGATAATTACAAACAAGTCTTCTGGAAGGAAAAATTGTAATATAAAGCATTAAAATATTAACAGTAGTCGCTCTTCATCGGGGTGCTTCCTGCCTCCTGCCCTTCCAAGCCCTGAACTAAATCACATCTCAGGCATGTTTTTCTTTTGCTTGGTACCTGCAGCACTCACAACTGATAAGGGTTTGCTTGCTTTATTCAACCATATTTACTCCAAGAACTCTAGTTCGACCTGAAACACATTCACTACAATGGATTTAAATTAACTTTTGTGAATTTATCTCATCTTACAGGACCATAATGTAGGGCTGACAGTCACATCAGTGTGCTTGAGACTTGGCTCAAGGTGCTCACCATTAATTATCTCTCTGCCCCATACTCCACACCACCAGGCTGCCACTATTTTTTTGGGGAGAAGCTTGGAAGTGATTTCTTCAGGTGACTAACAATAACTCAGTCCAGCAGTGAAAGTGCCAGGTCAGGCGCTGGCAAGGAGCTGGTGGATCTGGGTAAAAAGTCACACATTGCAGCAGCTGCCTCTGCTGTTATCTGACTCATGAATAAAAGGCTTGTTTTCTATCCTGACTTTCAATTAAATTTTGGTAAACACAGACATTTACCAAAATGTTTAGAACAATTTATCTGAGACCCTGAATGAATGGTTGTGTTTCCTGGAACAAAGTCAAAGCCTGAAGCTCTATTCAGAGAAAATTTCAAACGATCAATGAATGGCAGAAATTTCTGTCTCTATTTCTGATCTTTGCAATGTCACCAGTTCAGATTTTAGATGTTAAAAAAGCAGCATGCAAGGTACTGCAAGACTTCAAGACAGTCTGGGTTTTTTTCAACTCCCTTTTTCTTAAGGATCAGAATTGAGGGGAGGGAATGCTTCCATCAAGGGCATCACAACCTGATCTTAAAATGCTTTTCCACCCATAAGAGCCTGCTTTCCAGAGCAGCTGAGCTCCCACACCTTCACACTGCAGTTTGAGGGAATATGGATGCTGCCCTCAGCTTTTCAATGGAGATGGCCAGTGCTGGCAGCTGTTGATGAAGATGCCAAGATGGCCTGGAAAGGCTCCCAGCTGCCCACACCACCTTCCAGGAGATAGGAAGCCAAGAACATCATGGTCGATAAAAGCACAATTAGCCTCTAAGACCCACTTTCCAAATACATATATTTTGCCTGCAAACCCATCTCTTCTGGTAAAACAGGAAAGTAATATTTAAAGCTTCTCCAGTCCATTTTGTAAGTCCATAACTGCTATCACACAACATCAAGTACTCCAGCAAAGAGCTCAGTGTAATGGATCAATTAACAGTTCTGTGTTTTCCTGGCTGATGGAAGAAGAAAAGTAAAAGTTCATATCCTCCCCTTGCTGTCATGTATCTGCTAGTGGTCAGGCACACCTCATCCCCAACAACTTAGGTTTAATATTGTGATCAATGTTGAAACTACTTAATATGCTAAATCTAAGTTTATCCTTCAATAGTCCCCTGTAAAAAAAAGTAATGCTTCATGATGAGTTTTGCATTTAAAAGAATATTAGGGAAGAACTGCAAAAATTATGTGACCTGCAAGGAGGCCACCCATCAGTCCTGTGCTAAAATGGCATATTGGTTCAGTCTCAGAGGTAAAACCAGCTGCTTACTTTCTTCACAGTTAGATCTGACAATTGACTTTGCAGATTTCTGAAGCTATGACTCCAAAATCCCCAATACCTGAATTTTAAGAAATACACCAGCTGATTTTCTTGCACCACTGAGGAAAATATTAGAATGCAGGCATGCAATATATGATGTAGTTGGTTAGCTAAAGTGTTAAAAATGCTGAACATTCAGAATGAGCAGCTTTTAAGACAATTAATTTCAATGGCAAGTGACCTATGTCTTACTGTCACTCTCTTTGAGCAGTGCAAGTGACTGCCAAAGTCTGCCAAGGAAGGATGGAAAACAGGTTCCAAAAATGTTTCCAGGATTCTAACACTGACTTACCAACACAGAAAATCAAAATAAAAATGTAAAAATAGTTTTTATTAAGGATACTAATGGTGCCTGAGATGAACAAACTGCCTTTTGAAGAAAATGATTACTGACCTCAGTCAGACACTTTTTATTTCTTTTTCATTATAGCTTTTGTACTGATCTATGTATTCACAGATATCTGCATATGCATATAAATAATTAACTTCTTAAAGAACATACCAACGCCTATGAAAATGCAAGGTAATTTCTATTAGTTTTTAAACCAAGACAATATGAATTGGATCTATTTGTTTCCGTTCTGCTTGAAGTAAAATTTCACTGGCTATACAGATCATGTCTTAAGCTGCGCAGTCAGTACTGGAATAATACCAGAGTCAGTGATAAGAGATGCCAATCACTGCACTTCAAATGAGAAGGCACTCAAAGCAAAGTACAGGCTCTACCACTCACTTTTAACATTTCCAAAAAAGAAAATGTAGTACTGTTATAAAGTAGTAAACCCCCACCAATCAGTAATTTCCTCAACCCTCTTGTCCCATTCAGAGACAGCGAAGCAGAAGTCCATGCACACACAACAGGCAAAACCTTCCAGCTCTGCACACCAGGAGGTCAAGACTCACTCAGCATAGGGACCTCTTTGGGATCCATAGGCACATAGCAAATAAGAAACCCTTCACAGTTTATACCTGTATAGGAGATGTCATTAAATTTAAGGCTATTAGACCGTTACACTGATACCTCCCCCTTGAATTACCCGTAATGTACAAGCTTGTCTGTTACAGGGCTCTACATGACCAAAACCAGAAGACAAATGAAATTTAAAAAGCTCTGTAACAGGGAAAAAACCCAACCCACCTTGGATTCATCTAACTTCAGCTAGGCTGAAAGGTAGCGTGCGGCAATTGTTCAGAGCTGTGTTCTCTACGGCTCATCACACATCTTGTACTCTACTGCCTCTTCAAAACCTCACAAAACCTCTCTTTCTCCTCCAAAAGCCACAGACATATCTTGTTCTGACATTAGCTGGCCTGCAACATTTCATAGCAGACCATCAAGCTGTCCTGTCACTGCTGTTTCATTGAACTCTCTGCAGTTCAAGTATGCCTGAAGGCTGAATCCAATCTGGATCTCCATTAGAGAGAGAGCAAGAAGTAATTCCATCATTTTGTCTTTTTGAGAGGTATCTGTGTACATGCAAAGTGATCAATAATAAACCAAACTAGCCACCTTCCTAGCTTCTTAGTTTCTTATTTAGCATTCATTCAACACCTACTGCCATGGAACCTTGCTTTGCAACAAAAACCGGCAGGTGTTACAACAGTTCAGCAGTCGTACAAATTTAAAACTTGTTATGAATAGCTTATTTAGCATTATTGCCATCATCTTAACCCAAAAATGACAAAAGGCAACAAAACCAAAGCAAGATCTGAGATTAGAGCCCTGGTGTAAAGAACACTACAAACAACTTGGCAGCAATAACACTGGAGACTTGAGCTCCCTGAATTGCTGTTTCTCGATTTTCTTCTGAGGCTGCAGAGTTACAGACATAGTCTGAACCTAAAAATCTGTGTGAATATTCACAGTGATAAATATAGGCAGAATTATTATATTACTATGCAGTGCAAATCCAACGCAGCATGAGGACCATAATTCAGCCATGGAAATCTGGAACTTGCTGTCAGCTTATTCAAGATCAAACTGAATTCATTGGCAACACTCTACACAGGAAAGTTGAGCAAACTAAGGACCAGGCAAGAGAAGACAGAGGAAAAACACAAGATGGGAGATGCCTATCTCCCACTTTTCATGCATACAGTTTGAATAACAGCACTACATAACAATGATGGGAAATTGGTAATCAAAACCTTTTATTTAAACATACCAGGTATCTTTCCTCCTGCCTCATGTTGGGGGTACGGATCATGTGATTCTGTTCTCCTCTCCAGTCTCCGAAACGTCGAAAAAAATAATTGGACAGGAATCGGTTGACAGGATCTCTAATAATATTGATGTACACGGGCTGGTCTCCTCCAAACCTGGTGGAAGAAAAATGGGTGAATCTCATCACAGGCTCCACACAAACATATATCTATTATGTCTCATTTGAATGCTTTCAAATTACTTCCTACAGAAATTCAGAGCTTTTACAAGGTGAGGAGCAAAACTGAGATTCTTACAACTAGTTTCTAAACCTTTCTAAATGCATGTAAAATCTCTTCAGGGAGAACAGTAAATATGGAATCACATTAAGCTATATGTGTACTACAAACATTTTAGTTGAAAACCATTTTTTATACTGTATCCACAGTTTTGCTTCTTGAGTTCTCTCCTTGCTGTTTTCAGATGAAGAACCTTCTGCAGATGAATCGGAGAATGAGCATTTCTTCTTCTCAACACACTTCTTACCTGGGCAGCCATGTCAGAACAGGCACCACCCAACAGTAACTGCTGTAAGGCAGCCTTGGATCCCCTTTGCCTGTACAGTAAGTGCAGTAATGTGCAAAGGATTTTCAGCTTACTTTGAAAGCTTTTTTCCAAAAGCTTCCTCTGGATGAACTGACAGATATGCATGGTATTTCCAACTTTTTATTTGCTGGAACAACTCGTCCCCTCACCCCCAGTCTGCACCACCGGCTGGATTTGAGTTTATTTCATGGTTATGCAATACCTTATCCCTGTACTGCACTTCATGAACTTTTTTTTTTAAGTCTGTATGAAAATTCTTGCTTCAAAAAAATAATTAAATATCAATCTCAAGAACATGCAAGTCCAAGGAAAAGGAAAGGGTAACAACAGCTGTGACCAGCCTTGCACATAAACAAAATCTAGCAGAGATATCTGCAACTTAAGAGATGAGAAGATAAACCAGAGCAACTTCACCACCTTGACTTCACCCTCCTGAATGTCTCCGCCTGGTGCTAAGTGTAAGCACCTCCCGGTGCTAACATCTTCAGTTCAATAGCTGGGATATCAAAAGAGGAAAGGAGGAAAAAGAAGTTTGGGAAGGTTTGTGATTACACTGTATTATCACAATGTTAAAACACTGACTGCATATTTTATATCAACACTCAGCATCAGGCCTAACTGGAAAAAAAAAGCAGGGGGGGAAAGCTGCTTACACTGTTCCATGGTCAAAATGAAAAAATGGACGTTCATGGAACAGATTTATGGACTACAAATTGTCCGAGACAAAGAATAAAATAAAACCTTTCTGGACTTAGGAGTTTATAGGATAAATTCAACTTGGAATTTTCCTCATCTAAGAACACATATTATGCTTCTCTCATCTGTTTCCCCAATTTAGGTGAACAATTCTCACTTAAGCACTAGCTTATATTTTATTTTTGTGAGATTGAGGACACAGCCACATTTAAGTATTTAAATGCTATTCTGATGATTTTCTGAGTCACAATTTATATAATCTCTTCTAAACTGTAAAATACTAGATTAAAGAGAGAAAACCGAAGACATCCTTTAGATTAAAAAAAACCCTCTCAGTTTCTCCCCCTTCTTTTGAGGCAATGAATGATTGAATTTGTATAATAAAAGATCAGGGCTTCTCATTAATATTTAAGAGGCAGCAAAATTGTTAAAATTATGAATTCTAGTAAAGAGAAGAATCTCATAGATTTTAAACCTGATTTTTCTCCTGCATGATTCCCCAGACTCCTAAATACAATCTACAAAGGCTTGTCTCATGAGTAACTATGCCTGTCAGTAATCTCATTGACCTCAGCGTTGCAGGATCACTGCCGTAATTTGAAACTGCACAGACAGCATAAAATTTTAAAACAATCCAATTAAAAAGGCATATGCTCCTTGCTTCCTGATTAGTGCACAACCCAGTTTGGACATGGATGTGCAAGTTAAATATCCTGAATTTAGTACCCTGAATTTTAGTACCCTGAATTCTTCTCTAAGCTTATCTTTGCTGCTTTTTATCTTTATACAGAAATAAAACCTGTATTTGAAAAAAAAAAAAAAAAGGCATTCCTGCAAATACCACAAGACAACGTGGGCATAAAGTTTTGACAATATTTACTCAAATAGAAAGCTCTGAGAGGATGCCTTGGCCTGGTAGTTTTGAAAACTAAACTTTTCAAGTGAAATTGCTGGAAAGAATGGATTGTGTCTAAATTACTGAACACATTATCCTCCTGCTGCTTGATGCAGGTAGCAATAATCAAAAGACAGAGGTGAGGGGAGGAGAGCAAAGAAAAGGGGAAGCAGTAGTGAGTAAGAAGCAATGTCAGCAGCAAGCTGTCTTACGACAAAAAGATCACAAGATTTATAGATGCAAGAGAGCAGGGATGTCCTGCCCCAGGCTCCATAGAGGATGATAAACCTAAAAGCTCATCAGAGGAGCGAAAAATGAAAATCAGACAGCTAATAGCTGTCTTGATAGAAATTTTCAATACATACTGTCTTTTATGAAGTAAAAGGAGGGGTGAGATTGCACAACCAACCCACCATATTCCCAGAGCCCACACTTTTGCTGGTAAGGTCATGTTTCTGAAAATGAGAACAGTCCTGAGTAATTCAGGACCAAAAGCCCTGAGAAAAGAGGCTCACACAAGCTCAATCACCCCAAGAGGACAGCTGAGACAGGAGGCCACTCTTCCACAAATGCTCAGAGGAATTCCCATTTCTGAAATGCAGATTGTGCATGCTCCCCCCCTCCCCAAACACAGGACAGCTCAAATTTCTATTTTCTGCACAATGTAACCAGCTGCTATACACCCAGCTGTGGGTTTCTCCACCAAGCAACAAGCAAGGGATTATTAAAAAAATCAAGTCTGTTCTGGTCCTTATTCAAATGTGCTTTTTTTTTTTTTTTTTAAACATAGTTTATAATACTGCAAATTCCAGCCATTTGTTTCTATCATCTGTACTCGGAGTCATTTATGGAAGCTAAGCAGCACTCACAGAGCATAAAAAATCCTAACAGTTAAAAGAAAATCAAGTACCTTGAGCTATTTAAAGAAGAAAAGGGCAAATCAATGCTCCATTTGTTCAAGTATGTTCTGCATATTTTTAGATACCTATCAATCACAACATATTAAATGCTCTCCCAAGTGAAACTTTTCAGATTAACAACACCCACATGAAAGTGCTCTTGCAAAAAAATAGATGTGTGCTCTCATTATACATCACACCACCTTATTTGCACTCAAACCCCTATTGTGAAGGATTCAAAATGGGACATGATCATATTTGCTAGGCCTGAGTAGCAGACTTACCTTCCCTGAATGAGATCATGACTGGATCCCACATGATGAAGTTGCACAAATATTCTCATCTCCAGCAGCACATTGGCCTGACTGGGAAGAGTGGGTCAGGATATCACCACTCCACCAGAGCACTGCAAACGGATAATACACCAACCCTCACAACATTCTTGCTGTATTTAATGTTTCTTGATTTATTTTATATGCCCTAGTAAATCCCATTCATTTTAACTGATCTGTTGTTGAAGGTGTAGTTTTGGAGTCCTCATCAAAAAAACTATTTGCAAGCTTCAATCAATGATATTTAGCTTCATTAATAATATATTACCTATGTCTTTTTTAATAAAAGCAAAATTAAAAAAAACCCTGAGAAGCATGTGAGCTTGCCCCTTTCACATTTCTGATGAATTCCAATTTTATTATTTACAAACCCCTTGTAAGCTAGGGGGGAAAAAACCAACAAAGTTGTTTGCTTGGCTTTAAAATGGAAGCTCTCTTAGCTCCTATTATTTTTCATTTCACTTCAGGAGGCTGCTGACTTTGCATTTAATACAAAACTCTTCACACAAGCAGAAGATGGTTACTTCATCCTTGCAGGCAGATCACAACTCCTCAAGGAAAAGATGACTCCCATCCTGTTCTCTGGAAGAATGTCGTCTGCCTCTTACTCTTTCAACACACTCTGTTTCCCCTTAAACAAAAAGGGTGGTTGCTAGAAATTCAGTATAATGGAAACAAAGTAGAACCAACAGCCACATAAAATTAATAGGAACAGGCATATTGTTTCCTTCTTATAAAGGAAGCACAATTTTCTTTTCCAGCACCATACAAGTAAGAATCACATGCTGAGAGTACAATTGCCCAGCCATCTTTACTCAGCAATTATGTCAGAGCTCCATTACCTGCCCTGCAGCACAGCTTCACAGGGAGGTCATGTAAAAGCACTAACATAGAACCTTCACCTTTTTAGGGCTTAAATAAGACGCAGTTACTCCAATGTTTATCTTCTGAAAAAGTTATTTTGAAATATTAGTTTTCATAACATCTTGCATCAGCATGAACTTGTGGCAAAGCAATTCTCTGCACACAAAGCACCAGGCACTTCTGGGATGCTCCAGTGGTCCTCCCAAGGGATGAGATGCAAAGAGGAATGGGCTGAAGTACTGCCAACCTCCATAATCAAGAGTTTATCTTCCTGCTCTTGTCTGTAGTGCCTCTCTTGCAGCCTTCACCCTCTTGCTGTGGTCATGCTCTCAACCTTTTCTTTAGAACTGGCGGAGTTTACATGGGGCATTTCTCTACTGATGCACCTATGTCACCTACACAGTTATTTCAGTCATAACAGTACAGGCTGGCATAGGTACAACTGGTACAAGGACTATCTAGAGCAGACTTCAGGTAAAAACTTTGGCTTCATGAGGCTTTTTCCTTTCTTGCAGAGTACTAACAAGGCTGCCTCTCCCCAGGAAGCTGAACTTAAAATTATGCCAGTCTGGTTTTTTGTTATCGCTCTCTAATTTATCCCAGACACAAAACAAGCAATGCAGACAGGTGATGTATTATCATCCTTGGAAGCATTCAAAAAACATGTAGGTGCAGTGCTTAGGGACGTGGCTTAGCGGTGGACTCGGCAGTGTAGTTAACAGTTGGACTTGATGACCTCAGCAGTCTTTTCCAACCTTAACAAATCTATGATTCTATGAAACAAGTATTTTCATTTCAAAACTTTATCTTTGACTGGCCTGCCCTTCAATGAGAGGTGTGTGCAGGGATTCAAAATGCCCAGTGGTTCAAAGTTAACAGTAAAA